ACCACGAGGGTCGGAGTCCAGTGCTCTAACCACTGAGCTATCACTATATATATATATATATATATATATATATATATATATATATATATATATATATATATATATATATATAATAGAAAGTAAACCATATTGACCAGTAGCCTAGTAGTCTAGTAATGTAATTTAAATAATTTTACTGTTTTTGAAATCTACGGTCATTGCCATAAACTTGTATAGAATCACTGTTTAATGTATAGGCCCATATATCGAGAAAGACAAGAAAACGCATTTAGGTGCTTGCATAAAATTTCACTTTTCAGGTTTAATTGGAAAGTTAGCAATAAAAACACGTGGACGAGTAGATGAGATGTTGTAAAGTAATATGCCACCGAAAAGCAATACCTAGCAAAACCTAAGTATTGGATTTTTCACTGATGTTTGAAAATGGACAATTTTATACATAACAGAAGGCTTCATCGCTCAGTCGCTCACGTCCAGCCGGAAGTGAGAATAACGGGCTAACAGTAACCGTAATAAGGCATAGAGATGCAAAATATATACTAAATAGTATGAAGTTTTGTAGGACAGATATTATCTTTGTTAATTTATGTTATAAAATTATAATATGAATGAATTTGTTACAAACTTAAAATTATAAATAATTTTAGTTAAAAAACCCAAAAAACCCAAAACCCAGAAAAAATGTATGTGGGGGTTTAAAAAAAAAAAAAAAAGTAAAAAAAAAAAACAATTTGCCAGCCGTGATATACATATACATATATATATACATATACATATACATAAATATATACATAAATATATACATATACATATACATATACATATACATATACATATATATACACATATACATACATAGACACACATATACATATATAGACACACACATATACACATACATATACATATATATACACATATACATATATATACACATGTATATATTTAGACACACACACACACACACACACACACACACACACACACACACACACACACACACACACACACACACACACACACACACACACACACACATATCTATATCTATATCTATATCTATATCTATATCTATCTATCTATCTATTATACATATATTATACATATATTATACATATATTATACATATATTACACATATATTATACATATATTATATATATATATATATCATATATATATCATATATATATCATATATATATCATATATATATCATATATATTATATATATCTTATATATACATTATATATATATGCATATATATATATATATATATATATATATATATATATATATATATATATATATATATATATATACATATACATATACATATACATATACATATACATATACATATACATATACATATACATATACATATACATATACATATACATATACATATACATATATACATATATACATATATACATATACACATATACACATATACACATATACACATATACACATATACACATATACACATATACACATATACACATATACACATATACACATATACACAAATACACATATACACATATACACATATACACATATACACATATACACATATACATACACACACACACACGCCATAATAATAACATCAATTTAGTTTTATTCCATTTGTTACAATTCAGATTCTTATGACATGCTGTCTGTTTTATTTTGCTTCTAAATTACCATGTTTAATTTAGCACAAATATATGTTTGTGCTATCTATCAATGTAATTATGAAAATATTCAAACCAACCTAAGACATCATTTATCTTGTCTGACATATCAAAGGCAGGAAAGACTTCATGAAAATTTCCTTGCCTATGATGTGTTTAGAATTCTACATTTGTTCTTTTGTTAACCCATTGCCGCCGGGGATGGCATGTACGTACATGCCATGCCCACTGCGAGTCGACTTGTTCGATTGTTATTACACATAGATGGCTACACTTGTACTAAGTATCCAATGAGCCAATTACGAGTACTGCCTGTCTCGCCCGTTCACCCTTTTCATCGATTTACGAAAATATTTAACGTTATCCTAATTTGCTGTTAAAAATAATACCATCTATATTCATAGCACTAGTAAAAATACGTTTTTTCCTGCCAATTCAAGGAAAGGTGAAATCAGGACTAGCAGAGCCATCTATGGACAGAGATATTTCACAAAAATATAAAAAATGAGTACTGCATTTCCCCCATTTTTTTTGTTAATTTTCCCCGGCGGCAATGGGTTAAGCCTGTTTTGCACATGACTGAGGAAAGTTATTCAATTTACCAGCAGAAAACACAATCTTTACTTCCTAAACTGATTTCCTAAGCCTAATGCAATTTATAAATAGGTAATAACTATACCCAAACATGAAATTTTCATGTGCATGTATTATCTATCAGGAAAGGACCTATCTATGTGTAAACAAAATTAATAAACTGAAATTACAATGGGCATAGAAAGTATATTATGCCATCTGCAACCACTGGGTTACTTTCTT